CGTCTACTCCGTAGGCGTATCGGTCCTTGTCTTGTCGAGGGCAACCGGAAACAAGCTGCGACAGATTCAGGGTCTGAGACAAACCCGACTATGGCTTTTACATCAAACTGGAAAGTGCAGGCGGACACGACCCTCGCCCCAGCCTCTATGCTGGCTAAGCGGCTGACTTCCAAGGAGGAAAGCGCCCAAGGCTTCCTCGCAAGGCACACATGTGGCACGCAGGGAGGTTACTCCTGTCCACCGGGTCTCGCCTGGTGCACGGCAGAAAGAAAAGACGAAAAACAGAAGGAAGGCGACGATCAGTCAAAATGGACAGCGAGTTATGCAAGTTATGTGTGTTGTGTCTTTTCTTTTTGGGCGGCTGCATTGGATACAAAAGCCCCCCACAAGGGTCCATAGAGGTCTGATCACTCGAAACATTCCCAAGATGTGACAGTGCGGTCCGGCTGCTAACAACTGGGCAGGACAAGGCTGCGTAATTTCTATAGAGTCCGGTGGCTTCAACGTCATAAACAGCGTCATCAACACTCCCTGCAGCATCATTCATCACCACCACGGCGCATTCCATAATTGCCGCGTGATGAAGAAGGATTGGCCCCAAGACGGTCCGATGACTGTCTCATCAAAAAGGGGGCAGGGAGTGAGTGTAATCTAGTAATCATCTCAGCTGCCGTCTCTCCACCGAATGATGTGCCTGCACAACAAATATTCGGGGTGCGTTGGTCGCTACCGGGGACCTGGAGTTACGGAGAGTCTGGGCCCGGCGGTCGGAACTTCGGTAGGCCAATCCAAAAAAAGCTCGGGCCACGGGATATTCAATAATGCCGGGAAGAGCAATCGTCAATGCGCAGTTTGATTCAATTTTTTTGATCATGCCCGGGAGTTGGATGTTGGTGGCGCAGCACAGCGTACAGCGAACAGACAGCACGTCAACTCGGCAGTGGCTTGCTGCATCTTGTGAGTGCCGTTGGAGACTCAACGACCATTACCATGGTTCCGCAAACTCCCTATCATTTACGGAGTTATCATGCGCTCATTCAGGGCCAGGGCTCTTAGACCTCAACCCGGACATATTGAGGGCCTGAATCCGCGTCTTGACACGAGTTGGGCGCAATCAACCTGGCTAGCAAGAACCGGCAGCACTAGCATCGCCAGATAGCGCTCCCCAGACATGTTCTACTCAAAAGGGATCAAGCATTCAGCTCCCCAGGACCAGGGGCGGAAGGTTATGTTGCACAGGACGTATGGCATGACTCTCACAAGACAAGCCGTGTCCAAGTCAAACTTCATTCCAGCGTCCCTTGCATTAAGCGCTGGCTGTGCGGAGAATATAAACAGACTTGGCGCTGTCTTTATGAAACCAAATCCATGACGCCAGAGTGCGTAATTGGACAGCAATGATGAATTTGTCCACCGCTGATTCGTCGTTATTTTTTTAAATGTACAAACTTTACTTTTTCGCACGTGTCTGGATCCATGGTTCGTTTATTTGTGCATTGTACGGAGTACTAGTACTACTCCATATATCCCTTGCATTGGTTCCACTTCTTCGAGACACCATGCCCAGGCAAAGGGCAGCAAGGGCATGGGCGGCCGGTCAGTTACCGACTCTGCTGAAAATGCCGCCAGAAAAAAAATACTTGACCGCTATACGGTGTAGTTTTACCATTACCGATTCAAGCGTCGCGTGGGTTGCTGCACGCCGTTGCAAGCTTGGCATTTCACGCCTATATTTTTTCCCACATTATCACATATCTCGACAGACCCTGTCCCTATAACACGAATATTGACGAAGCCTCGGACGCAATCAAAATTGGGCTACGTACGGCGCGGGCTCAGACGCAGAATTTGGCTTTCCCACCCCTGGCAAAAAGTAGTCCCCGTGGCGGACTGGGCTTTAACTGCCGACAACAATGAGAGCGCATTGACTTCATCTGGTGTCTTCCCTCCATTCCGGGGGGTGGACATTACAACGTCATAAAGGGAGGCAAATGGCCACACTGCCCTTCTCCCCCCGGAACTGGACTTGATTCCAAGAATAGCCCAAGACAGCTTTGTTTCGCACGGGAATGGGAAGGGAAGCACCGCCACGCCAAAGACGCCAAACCCGCCGAAAGGGCACGTTTCGTGGCCGGCCAGGATGGGAATTATTACATGTGGTGTTTGTTGGTCGGGGACCAGAAACTTTCCCGTCATGCGGCCAACTCTGCGACCCCCCCGGCCTCACAGACGGGCGCTTCCAGATATAATTTCGACACGTTTACAGGGTGGCCCCCCGTAGGCAAAAAATGCTGCTAAGAGCGATAGCCGGCAACTTACATTGGGGGGCTCGAGCCACCCGGGGCCCTGTGCGTGATGTTTGCCCGCGAACTATTGAAGGGGCCGAGTTAATGGCCCATGACACCATTTCAACGGCCACTCGACCGTTCAAGTTGCGTCCTTTGTTAAATTTTTCTTCTTTTGTTTGACAGGAAGACACGAGTCCGAGCGGGAACGTATCTGACCCAAAAAGACAAAAGAAGAATCCTAAAGGATGAAGAATGGCCCCAGCAGTTTTGACTCGTCGGTCGCGCGCCCCATCGTCATATGCCCTTCACGAGGGCAATCTCGTCGTGTCAAAGGACCAACTGGCCCCCAATGGACCACCAATGTCCGTGCCTCGCAAATATCGTCATGTGGAACAACCCGGGGGGTAGGGGGGAGGGTTCCCAGCATCAAGAGCTCCCATCCCCTTTGAAATTGAACAAAAAAGAGAGGTTGCTGGTCCCGCCCCAAACTATCGCGGTCGAACCAGATAGCTGCGCTGCATGGCTGCGGAGGTGATTGACCAGAGAGCCATGACATCAACCCAGACATTTCAGGTCAAAGGGGCCGTGCATTTCCGGACAATGAAACGTGGGGAGGGTCGAATCCGCTGCGCTAGAAAATGCTTAGCATCGACGCCTCCAGATCCAAACAGTTTAGCTAAGCGGTGCGCCTGGTTGGAAGGCTGCAGTGTGCGTGGCAAACGCCCTAGGTGGGAGGGGAGATGGAACAAGTTCAACCGGTGGCGCACACCCACATCGGTGGACAAAGATGGAAAAAAACTGGAATTTGCACCCGACTTGCAAAAGCTCTTTCCCACCAACTAGGCCATATCTCGATCCTCTGCATCGAACCAGAGGCGTTTCGATCGGGGAAGAGGTCTAGAAAGGACGCCAACGTCGGCAACTGGCCACATCGGGTGAAGATCACACCACATCGGGGGGGAAGAGTCTCAAACTCGATACTCGACTTGATGTCGAGAAGATGATCGCTTGGCTTCTGTTCTTGGAAACCTCTGTCTTGCCGTCAAACCATCATCTCGATGCACAAGGCCGTTTATAAGCCACACAGTTCGTGACGTGTGAATAGTTGCTTCCCGTCTCCCTGGCCCTGACATCACAGCCGACATTGTCAAAAAAAAAAAAAAAAAAAAAAAAAAAAAAAAAAAAAAAAAAAAAAAAAAAAAAAAAAAAAAAAAAAAAAAAAAACGTCACACCACCCTCCCCATCTGCCGATCAGCACCCTCCCAGCGTAGAACACAGCCGGCGTCCCAATCTCACCCCCCGACTTTTAAAAAAAAAAAAAAAAAAAAAAAAAAAAAACGTCACACCACCCTCCCCATCTGCCGATCAGCACCCTCCCAGCGTAGAACACAGCCGGCGTCCCAATCTGAAGCTGAACAAGACCAAACGACCTGCTTCATCCATCGCGCAGGCCGGGTTATCAATCTGCCACTCCATAGCCAGGATGGCTGGCAACGTCACCACCACCAGCAAAGCATCGATTCGCCCCAAACCACCAGCATCAGGCTTTCCTCAGCCGCACCATCCAGTTCCGCGGCGCCTACCGAAACCACCCCATCAGCCTCACTGCCCACTCGCCTCTCCACATTCATGCACATCACCCAGCCCTCCCTGCCAAGTAGAAAATTCATGCCCACGATCTCGCTCAATACAGGGCCTTTTTTTTTTTTTTCAAATAAAAAAAAAATTGCAGGATCAATATAAAAAATGCGAAACAGGTGTGACCGCGCCTCTTGCCACCTGCCTAATCACCACAGAAGCATAACGCCAAGGTCAAAATGCAAAATATAATCACCAGGCATTTTGATTCCGCATAGCGCCGTGAGCGACTCAAGACTTACATACGTTACGTGTGTACGGTATAGGGTAGCTTCAGGCAAGAAATGAAGGGGCGCGAGTCAGCACCCATCACGAGATGTCTTTCCGAAACAAAAGGCAATAAATAGATTGGACAGCCCGCCCTCCGCCGCGACGAGTCTGCGCCCGGGGAGTCCAGACTGATTCGCGTCCTTGGCCCCCTCTACAAGAAACAAGAAACAATTCACGTCCGACGTTGCTGCGCTGCGTACCCCGTACAAAGGGCCATGTGTTTCGACGCCTTTGGGCGCACCGAGTACAGAGTCCGCATAAACAACTAGTATTGCGGGGTGGTACAGGTTACACCATCAAGCATCAAGGGGTGGGCAGTTTTGTGCGACAGAATGGACAGAATGGCCTCACTGTTAAAAAAAATGGACTCAAAGAAAAAAAGGCCGGTAATGCAACTCCGTACTCCGTACATATACCATCACAACCACTCGTGGACAGTCAACACTCATTGGACAAGGCCCGGACCACTGCTCATGCCGTGCAACATGACTCTTCATCTTGTACAACCGCTGATGGCCCATTCCGGTCGTGGCTGCGTCTTGATTCACCATCTTGTGACGGTTACTCTAAAACTCTTTCCGCCGTCGCCTACAAAGTAACTTCTATGCTGTTTGCCCTCAAACTGCCTCCTCCTCCTCTGACACGCCGCCTTCCCGTCGGTATGCGCTTCTTGCTTGCGAAGCCTCTTAATTTACATCCTTGCATGACCACACCGAAACGCCGCCAGTGACAAATCAACCGTAATCTTACCGCCTTCCGTTGCTTGCCGCCGTCTTGGAAGCGAAGAAGGGATGCTTCAGCGCCTCACTTGGAGTTAACCTCTTGTCCGGGTTCAGCGCGAGGCATTGCTCCAATAGGTCGATGAAGTGATTGAGATGCCTGGCTTCGGCGTCGTTCATCCCTGTCGATGCAGCGTTTAACCGGGTTCGCAAATCTCGCGTTGGCTTCACCACGGCCAATGTTCTGACCGCCGTCTGCAAATGCACATGTCAGCATTCCCGTCATCAATATTTACAAAACAAGATAAAGGATCTAGCCCAACAAAGAAACCGCCCCAGTCGCGCGGCGTATTTAGTCGTGGTCAAGTGTATTCTGCCGGGTCTGCAGCCCAATATGCGGCCGTGAGGCTGGCGCTCTATTACCCGCCCAACGTCGTGTCATCCAGTCCGGCACTGACAAACGTAGACCAAGCATCGCAAGCGACAGCTCTAACTGTTGCCAGTATGCCCGCAATCCGAGCTGTGTTTGCCTTGCGACGCAGTGCATCTAGAAAGGATTCTGGCGCTTACACAGGACAAACTGTTGCCAATCAATCCATCTCCACTAGATGGGGCAACGAAAAAAGGAAGAATCAAGGAGTAATGTTGCGCGATGTGTGGGTGTAAATCTGTTCCCAACTCCACGCTAGAATCAATCGATGAAACGAGAACAGAGAAGACGTGGGCGTAAACAGTAGAAATTTGTGAAAAAAACATACCTTTCCCAAGACCTTGTCACGCTCAACACTCACAAACTGACCCTGTTCATCGAAATGTGCCGCCGCAAGCTGCCCCCGACGAAACAGCTTTGGTGTGAAGCGGCCGCGTATCTCCATGATTGCCTTGAGCATCTGATTATTGCTGTCGCCCGTGAATAAAATTTTGCCCGTATACAGCTCATACAGAGTACATCCGATGGACCACATGTCAACTCCGTAATCGTAAGGCATGCCTAGGATAATCTCTGGCGCCCGATAAAACCGACTGACCAGGTACGGCGTAAGTTGATTGTGTACCGTTGCGGCATCAGACCTATCAATTGCAGTGCCCAAGTCACAGATTTTGAGGACATTACGCTGTTCGTTGACAAGAATGTTGTCTGGTTTGAGATCGGCATGGATGATGCTGCATTTTCGCATGTGGGCCAGAGCAACGAATATTTGATAGGCGTAAGTTCGTGTCGCTCCCAGGTTGATGCCAACGTTGTTGCCAAACTTGCGCAGAACCTCACGCAGATTCATACTCAGGTTCTCAAATGCCATACATAGGTGCCCGCGGTAGTCAAAGTGCCGCTCGAACTTGACAATGTGTTTGCGGTTCTCTGGGTCTGCATCATTAAGTTTCTGTAAGATGGCAATCTCGGTGTATCCGCCCTTCCGTAGCGCGTCATTATTTCTCATCATCTTGATAGCGACGACCTGTTTGGTTGTGACGTCAACTGCACGAACAACACCAGAAAACATGCCTCTGCCGAGAGTAGCCTGGACTTGGTATCGACCATCAAGAATCTCACCGATTCTTATCTTGTAATATCCATCTTTATCGTCGCCTTCCAGAATACCACCTTTGTCGTCGGCTTGCGATGCTTGGGCTGGGCCATCTGCACCAGCCGTGGCAGCAGCGGCTTTGGTCTGCTTGCTGGCATAGTTGTCAACGTCAATGTCGTCAGCAAACATGTCAAAGTCATCGTCATCGGCATTTTCCAATGCGCTGGCGGCGTCATCCTTGGCGTTGTCATTTTTCGTTTCAATGGTTTCAGCTACGCTCTCACCGTGTAGGACTGTGTAACCATGTCTGAGCTCGTCTCGACGCTCATCTTCTTTCATATCGGCTGTCGGGTCGTAATCAGCTGCTGAAGGTCCATCCTGGTCATCCGCTTTCGCATTGCTGTGAGTGTTCATGAGTTCCTTGTCACTGAGTAAGTTGATTCCACCCGGTGACGGTTCGGGCGAACGAGGGGATGCGAAGTCTGACGAGTTAGTCTTTGACGGCCACGAATCCATTCTAGTTAGGCACGTACCGGATCGAGGTGTACGAGGGGTTTCGCCCTCAAATGATGATATTTGCGGCGTGTCCGGCTGTGTGGATGCAGGGGAGGCTCCTCGAGCGTTCTTGTCTGCAGATGCACCGACAGCATGTAGAAGAAGAGGAGTGGCCGAGCTAGATTTTGCCAACAGTTCCTCTCGACGCCGCCGGCGACGCTCGATTTCAGCGTCCTCGTCCATCGGTTCCGGCTCTTCGTAGTCATCAGGCTCGGCAAACGTGCTGCTGGGTTTTAGAATGCCCTTTGGTGGCTTCGTGTGCTGTTCAACAACATTATTATAGGCATGTGGGTGCTCCTTTACTGCAGCCCGTTGAGGCAGGTCTCTGTCCACTCGAGAACGCCGGTCATCACCATAGTGCAAAGCCTCGGTCGAGTCACGATCGTAGTTCCGGCCCTCCTGTGCAAAGCTTCTGTTATCCGACCTACCCAATCGTTGTGATGCATGGGGCGATCGACTCCGAGAGCGGCCCGCTCTGTCGGAAAACTGGCCACGACCACGACCTCGGTCGCGGTCCCTTTCGCGGTCCCTTTCACCATCATAGCGCCGGTCGTAGTGGTGGCTTGATGTTGCGCTCGGTCGATCCAGATCTTCGTAAGAGATGCGCGATCTGCGATAATCACCTCTAATGGAATCATCGAAACGAGCGCGGACATGCCTGGATTCTCGGTCACGTCCTCGGGTGTACTGGTCTCCATCATCGCGAATGCGTTTGTATCCGCGAGGCGAGCGGCTTCGGCGGGAGGAGCCGCTGTATCTGGAAGGACCTTCGTGATCTGGAGACGATTGTCTACTTCGGGGTCTGTCTTGGCGGTCAATACCGTTTCCTGAATGGCGTGCAAGTGAAGTTGCCTTCAAATCCCGATGTCCCTCCTCAATGATTTCACCCTCATCAGAGCTGGATGCCATTGTATGCGTACGGGATCCTGGAAAGGACCTTGATGAAAAGCAAAATGAACAGTGTCAGCAAATGCGATCAGGAATGGCCAACGCGTAAACGGGAGAAAGAGTCCAACCGGATCAGCGTTGACTCGTGCCAGGCTCAGGTCATTCGAATGTTGTTCTTGCACGACGAGAGCGGGGGGGCTGAAGGAGAAAGAAGAAGAGTCCCAGAGGCTAGAGAGTTATTCTCAAATCTGCAAAAGAGATGATGCTGATGGAGAGATAACGAAGGGAGAAAATACAGAGGGTTTTGGCAAACCGAGGCTGTGTAGACTGACTGCAATCACGACGGTAGGCGCCAGACTTGACGTAGTTGCTGCCGGAGTGTGGAGAATTTTGACTCGATTTCTGCTACGATTACGTAATGAAGCCCAGTGCTTGGTACGTTGTCAACTAAGAACTTTGACCCGATAATTGTCAAGTGAAGCTGCGGCGAAGGCCAACGATGCGCGAGACGTAATCAGTGGTATAAAGGTATTTCTATAGATCTTCAAATGCTCCAAAACGCCCGAATTTATCGGCGGCAGCAGCAGCAGTTTGAGGGGCTCAAATTCAGCGGCCGAGCAGTTAGTTTCGCTTGCAAGGGCTACCGTGCGACGGCCATGAGACTTTGCTGATCAAGTATTCATAGCCTCATCATGCCGCATAGATGGGAAATATAATATCTTGACTCAGTCCACATGCCTTCTGCCCTATGTGCGACTAGGAGCACATCCGACCAAGGTATACTTGATTGCCATTCAAGGTTCCACTGGTAAGCAATATTGCGAAAGCGAGAGCCGGCTTGACACACTTCTCCAGCCCCCGAGTGATTCAATGCAATCATTGATGCTTTGCGATTCCAAGGCGGCTGCTGCCTGTCACCCTTCTTGGCCTGCAGCAGCAACCCACTCGTCTTTGAACCGGAAAATTGAAGGTTGTATGGAGACTTGTATGCGGGACCTAGTAGCAGTGTTACAGCGACATGGATAAATAATAATGTGACTGATTGTACGTCTGCGCGGTCGATAATTGGGGTGGAATCATTTTCAAGGAGTGTAATATCAGCGATGTGAACGATTTGACCGCGGATCCCCTAGGGGTAGTCAAGTTCTACCCAGAATGACAAAGGAAATCGCTATGGATGCAATTGACGATGCCGATGCAGAGTTGTTCCCAACCATTACTTTCCAGCCAGTCTTGCACTGGGAGTCTTGAAATCATTCTCACTCACCCCAGAAACCAGGGACAAGAGCGGAAGCCTCAATCGAGTTGTCCAGCCTGCTACATGCAAATAGGCTCACGCCCAACCGGTCGTTCCAGAGTAACCAAGGAAATGGATCATCGAAAGACACTATCTGCAACTTGTGTGCAAAGCAGAGCCTTCTTCTGAGGCCAGACATGCGTAGAGTAGCCCATGGCACTTGTTTGGGTATCGATGCTTTCCGAGCACAGAATGCAAGCCATGATCTCGGAGAGCGGAAAAAGTGGCAAGACGAAGCAAAGACTTATATGCGCGACACATTGTTGAACAGAGACCAAAGAGCACGCCTCCATTGTGGCCACAATCAGTCGCGCCCACGGCAGATTTCAAGCAAGCCGGCACTGGCAATGACAATGTAACCCAGAGGAGCAGTCAAACCATGGCCGCGGGAAATTGGCTGGCATGGTGCGGTATCTAACACATCGGGCGGACAGGAAAACGGACTTGTGGAAGTGAGAATTCGATACCACGCCTCGTTTCATATGATGTAGCAACCCGAGTTGGCTATTTTGACGAGAGAAAAACAAAAAAAAAAAAAAGAAAAAAAAAATCCTACGCGCCTATCAAAAAAAGTATTTCGACCCATTTCCGTAATCGCTTCGACATCTCAGAAAACCATGCCAGTCTCGAAGCTGAGGCCGTGGCTTATTTCTTGCCGCTCTTCTTGATGCCCTGGGTTCCGGTATTAAGAGGCCCCTTTCCACCAGCCTTTGACTTCATCGCATCCAACTCTTTCTGCTCTATTCAACAGGTTAGCATGCTGCTTCATCGACCCGTTGTGGACGAGTGTTATTTGGATGTCACGAACGCTGCTTCTTTTTCTCAAGGAAAGCCAGGTCGTCCTCGTCTAGCTCCTTCTGGGCCTTCTTCGGGGCCTTGTCCGGCTTCTTCTTGCCACCTATTCGAACCGACGTGTTAGTCTCCCGTTGAAGGCGGCAATTGGTGCGGCGGCCACACCGGAGCGGGTTGCTGTTACGCACCTTCTCTGCCCTGGCCACCCATGGCTGATGGAATGCAGCGGATATTCGAGGAAAAAGGGAGATGCGATTCTTGCACGGCGACGCTCGCTTCCCGGCACGGCTGCTGGTTGGTTCTGTTGGTTGCGCAGGAGAATGGGACGCGAGGAAAATATCGCGACTTTCTGGTGGGGGTTCGAGAGGCGGAACGCAGATTTGGATTCTACGAAGGGCAGGTGGGGGGATTCTGTTTTGGGCTTAGCTTGGAATTGCATTAAACCCCTGAGACGTTTTACTACGAATGCTGTCGGGCGATGGACTTGTATTAATTTCTGGCCTGTACGCCAAGTGAAGGTAATTCCTTATAACATTTTTCTATAATACGTTGTAGGAGTCTGCTGGCTGAATAACCTCCAAACTGTCAATTGTGCAGCGAGCCGGAGCATCGACGACGGAATTCTATGGTCAAGGTAAGGAAGGAGTCTAAGGATCTTTAATAGTTGCTCAGGACTCGGCGATGCTCAACACAACCAGGTCAATTCATTTGAGGTTAGCTGTGCAAGCCTGCCGCAAAGAGCAGGCACCAGACGTCAATTGATGTCAGCTGGTCAGATTTGTCGGTGCAGTCTGATACAACCTCAGTCTGGTAGGTTTGTCACCGACAGTGTGAGTCACTTCATCTGCCCCGTCGTCAGCTACAAGTGTCGAGGGCTGCTCATTTCGTGTCCCAGTCTGTAAGCTGCAACTACCTTTTCGTCGAACTTAGAAAATGACCCCATCTTAATATCCCTTGCTCTATTCACCTTGTTTTCTGTTTTGCTACACTAGACTGCGTATGCATGTCTTCGCAGATGACCGCAACATAGTCCTCTGACAAATACTAGCGCACTAACGCAACTGCGGCCATAAATGAAGGTTCTTTACGATGTGGTTCGACTAGTGACGTATTCCTTTTAGTCGAAACCCAAGTAAGGGTGAGAAGGCCGACATGTTGGGAGGCCTACTCTGTAATGTGCGAGGAATAACGAGAATCTGGGCCAACACATCAAGCAACCAAGCAAGCCGCAAGTTTCATCTCAAGGAAAAACGCATCCCTTTCCTCGACGACCTAATTCTTAAACCGCCCTCTCTGCCCATGACTGGATAATCCCCGCGTTACTCTCCTCATAAACCTTGAGCTCTACCGAGCCCCCTTTGACAAAAGTATTCGGTTGCACAAACTTCCATCTTGGATTCGGCTTCGAACACACAATCTGTCGCCACTGCTCGTGCTCGCCGTCGACTGCACACAGAAGCTCGTAGAGCTCTTTGCAAGAGGAAACATCGGCGATGCAGCGCCAGATGTGCAGCCGACAGAGGTAGCGGCCCAGCGCGGGCTTGCCGCAGGATATGATCTTGCTGTGGTCGACATGGACGGTTAGGCTGGAGGTGGCGCGATCGTGGGAGATACGGATGACATCCCCGCCGTCTTGGAGGAGGTGCCTGAGGATGGAGAAATGGGCCTGGTTCGGGTTAGACTTGCACAGAAATCACGACACAGGCGAGGTTGTGTACCTGGTGGTGAACTTGGCCCCACGCCTGATTTTCAAAGTTGTAGTGTTGGAGGGCTTGAAGGCCGTCGACTCCAATGTTGAGATACGTGGTGTAAAGAACTTGACAACGTTAGCAAGTTGTGCACACGCCAGTCGTGGTGCAACATACGGTCTTCTGCTGTGATTTCAATATCACCAGTGTACCCAAAAATCGATAACACTTGTTTATTGTCCATGGGATATTCCGAAATCAGAATGGCTCGACACTCCTCCACTGTCCCCGCCAGCTTGCCAAAGACACTATTCCACGTCTGACCAGGCAGGTAGTGCGAATCTATGGCTTTCCCGCTGATGGGGTTGATCGGCAGGTTCTGGTGGTTAAAGTTATAAATTCCCGGGGAGGTTTCGCTTGGGAGTTTTGCCAATTCCATGCCCAAGTAGCTCGTGGATAGCTGTCGTGATGAATCTGACAATGTGCGTGCTCTTCTTGAAGCTCTGGAGCTCGGATGGATTGACCCAATGGCATGGCAGCTTGGGGTTGTTGTTGGCGCTGAGACGATTCGCGAGAACTATGTTTTTGAAACCGTGGGTTTCCCGAATGTGATCGTACTGAGCCAGCCATTAGCTTCTATCCACTAGAGCAGTCCTTTTTGTAACTTGCGTTGGGTAGATTGGCGGCTTCGAAGACGATGCTACCGCATACGGCGAATGCTGAGAGAATTAGCGAAACTCAATGCCTCCTACGTTGGGGCAGCTAACCGCGAACACTGGTGAACTCTGGAGCCTCAAACAGACTCTTCTCAAATGGTCCTTTGCCGTCATTCACACTCTCAACTGCCCACGGGGGTTGTCGGATAATGGCAGTTGAGCTTTCAACCAAGAGCTTCAACCTCGATACCTCGTCGCGGTCGGCTATTCCTACCATGGCCTCCCACTCCGACCTGATTCCTGCTGGGTCGCGGTAGGGTTCGATGAACCCGATCAAGTGTTCCACTGTTGCTGAGACATCGTCACCCATACCTTTTGCGACGCCTGGAATGCCTCCAAGCTACCAGTGCGAAAACTTTCGATGTAATGCTCCAAGAATTGGATTTTCTTGCTGTTGCTAGCGTACGCTTTTGCCCTTTTCAAAGCCGAGCAGACCTTGGATAGTTCTTGGGAGTGATCGCCTTTCATAAGGAAGAGGTCATTATCGAGTTGATGTGGATTGCTGCTGGAAGCATCATTCTCTGCGGAAGCCTGCAACAGCCGGTAGACGGGCTTGCCATTCTTGAAAAGCTTCCGCAGTCGAGTATTTTCCGGCCAGAGGAAGTGTCGTCCCACGGACGCCGACACCTGGGCGATCTCTTCCTGGGAAAGGGCTTCGGTGCCTGGGTAATGGGCCGACTGCACGTCCCTGCTGGGATATCCAAGGCTGAATGGCGGGACTGCTAATAATGGACCGATGGTATTCTCCAGCCCGTCCATGGTCATTTGGGGAAATATCTGCAATCTTTCGCAGTGTTTCGACTGTTGAACCAGGGACGAACTTTTGGTCTCTTTCGCCCTGGTGAAGGTCAGCGCCTGGTACGAACGACGATCCTTGAAACTCACATAAGAGTTGCCCAAGTTGCAGAGAAACATGCCGGCATACTCGAGAAAGGAGTCGAGCTCTTCAGTGGTGAGGTGGCATTGCGTCACCAAGGTGTCCCATTGTCCACCGCAAGCATGGTGGAGGTCCATGATGAAGTCGAAGATGTCGGCGCTCTCGGGTGCTAAAGGTCAGCTTCGTGTGCTTGCCCCCTAGAGCCGGTTTGTTGACAGCACAGTAGCTCACTGCCCAAGCTCCACGAGCACTCTCCAGGATCCCCCGGATGCTCAAGTCTCTTGGCTACAAGGCGGAGGCTTTCCAAAGGTACTATGCTGTTTGTCTGGAGAATGCAGACGACGTAAAAGAGGCATGCTTCGACATTCAGATTCAGCTAGTTGGCTTCCTCACCAGTGCCGTCACCTGCGTGCGTGGCGAGAAAGACGAAACAAAGTACAGTAGCTATCAACGGAATTGAAGCTACCATGCTAGTATACTAACTGACCACTGATGGTCTAGACAGGCTAGACGAAGAAGAGGACCCGTGTCTGCTGCTTCACCGCCGGCTCACTGCTACAAACCAGGAACTCACCGAAACGCTGGCGCGGGTTGAGAAGATGGCTGCCATACGACCCTCTGGGGCAGGTCCGAGCCGTAGCTTTGTTTGGCCTGGGCGATATCGGTAAGAGCTCCATCGTGGCGAGGTATCTTGAGAGGAAATTCGAGGATGACGAGTATGGCGCTGTGTTTTGGATTCATGGATAGAAGACGGCTTCTTTACGACAGGGCTCCACGGATATAGCGATGCGCTTACGACTAGACGAAGCAAAACTTCATCTACATGATGATAACCTAATTCTTGTCCGGAATTGGCTCCAATTGACTGGTACATTAATCCCAGAAAGATGTTTTTTGAGATTTTTCGGCGTACTAAGCCTTCATATAACAAAGAATGCAAATGGCTACATGCGTATGATAGTGTCGAGTCTGCCGATATATCAAGGCCGTACTGGCCGGAAGCGAGCCATGGAAACGCAATCATCACCACGCGTAACCATTCCTTGGCGTACGAGCCCGCAACCTCCGTTCTGGAGATAACCTCGTGGGATGAAAAAACTGGCTCAGAGTTTCTTCCATTCCTGTTGAAGCGCAACATCGGCAGCGATATTCAAATCGAGGGAGAATCGGCAGCCAAACTCTCCAAGAAGCCAAGTGGCCATGCCTCGGCCATCTCACAAATGGCTGGGCTGATTCACCGACGGTCCTGGTCCATTGCTGAATTCATGCGCATCTACCCAAACAACCCCAGGCGAGCTCACGAGACTGAGCTGCAGGCGGTGTGGGATTTCTCCTTTTCCACCCTGGGTAAGGACAGCCGGACATTTCTGGTAATTGCTTCATTCTTAGTACCGCAACATATTCCACAACTGCTCTTTCAATTTGAAGAAGACGGCGACATTCCTGAAGACCTCGAATTTCGCGCCGATGAGTTTAGGTACAGGTGAACTCTCGGAAGAGAGACCTCGGCTGACTTTAAACGTAGCTTTTCGGAGGCGATGAAGCCTTTTTAAACCCTTGCCCTCATAAACCGAGGCACGGATGGTGGGTGTTTTTCTTGCCACCGAATGGTGAAGATGCAATTTCGATATTCTCTCTCTCGCGGTGAGCGACGAAAGGCGTTTAATAACGCCGTTGCGGTGGTTTACCATGCGTTTGCCAAACAGTCAGATGGAACTAACAAGAACCAGCTATACCAACACTGGAACCAGTATAACCGCTACCTCATCAGGTTCTTAGTTTAAAGGATATTTCAAGGAATAGCAACGGTTTACAAGGAACTTCGAGCCACCCATGTTTTGAGCCTTTGAGAGATTGTCAGAGGTAGGTAGTGCCTCCAGGACATTACCACGGCTTGCCTACTGACCTACGCCAAGATATCTCTGTGAAATCAACGCACTCAAAGACCTCGAAGACGTGTGGAGGTAAATCTCGTAGTCGTTGAAACACTAGATAATAAAGAACTAGCCCACGACATCGCGGCTTGGACACTCTCACACCAGGCAAGCATGTATGAGAGCACCGGCAATGTACAAAAGGCAATCGAGCTTGATAGGAAGGGCTATGAAATGAGAACAGCGGAGCATCCGTTCAAGGGGGAACTTGTCGGGGGCTTCGAGCAGAACCTAAATGAGCACGAGATGGCGCCAGCATGGTTTGAGAAGTCAAGAGAGACGCGGATTGCCGAGATTTCCAAGCAGGGGAGGGGGAGAGATTGGCCAGCGGTGACGACGACGAACATGGCAAGATGTCTTGTGTATCTCGGCCAATACGACAAGGCACAGGAACTGCTATATATTGCAATTGCCGAGTTTAAACGGGACAAGTCCCTCGATTGGGCCATGCTTACCGAGTAAGTGTTCTTCTTGTGAGTGCGGTATGCAATAAGAACCGCCATCTTTTCAGCGCATACTTTATCGAGGCGCAGAACCTGTGGATGAGGGGGGGACCAAACGAGACTGCATCCTTTCCAAGCGGCTCGCCTATACAAAATTGGGGTGGTGTCAATGGTGTCTTGAGCAAGGCAAGGTGGAGGCGGCTGTGTGAGTCTTGATTTTTTTTTCCCCCTCCGTACGTACACCTTACCTGACCTTGGCCTAGCAAACACCTCGGCGATTCCCTGAAGCTACAGAGTTCCGCTGCGGTGTCATGAAGCGCTGCTCCAGGATACGTATGATGACAGTGACGAGGCGGAGGTTTACCTGCTGAGGAGGGACTCGGAGGCGGCAGGGTTTGGGAGCGAGCTCGACTAGGATGTGCGGGTGCCCATCTTTTGGCGGCGATGGCGAGCTTTTTTGCCCTTTGCCAAGAATAGCCATCTGAAGGGCTGCTTTCGAAATAAAGGAGACAGCCCAAGTAGCTAGTCTCTACTAGAATCCTTTCGGGCACCGGTCATCAGATAGGTGGCAGGGGAGAGAACATCGGAGCAGTAGGTTACTGGGCGCCTTGCAGACATCAATTGAGCGCGCGAGACTTTTCCAGCGCCTAGGCAGCTCGTTCAGCACCCGCGATACCCGACATGGAGCTACAGGGCGCGCAGCCATCAACTACCAGACCGCTCCGTGTCTCTTTATCCCCCCCCCAGTGCCGTGGCCGTTGGTAGCCGCCTTCCATCAATTGATGTTCGCGTTGTAGATTGATAACTGCCGCATCGGCCCCATTTACTGACCATGGCAGTGGAGACGTGCGCCCGAAGCAAGCAACGGCCCCCAGCTGCGAGATTCAACATGACGGCATTTTACACGTGCTAGTCCCAACAATTTCGGGATAACCACCGCGACGCCCTTGACCATGAACCAGGCCGCATCCATCACCCACGTCACGTCCTTTTTATAAATGCCATCGCAGGCCTCAACCAACACGTCCTGCAATGATACACACCTCGCCCTCGCAAAAGCCGCCACCATGTCCAACCTCCGCCGCCGCCGGCCCTCAACCACAGAGTCCATCCTCACCACCCTGCAGACGCTCGAGAAAAAGGCCGAGTCCAAACTGCTCCTCCTCTGGGACGACCTGCCCCCCTGGCGCCGCGACAACGCCTTCATCCACTCGGGCTACCGCCAGATCCGCGCCTCGTACGCCCATTCCTTCCAGTCCCTGTTCTACCTGCACAATGAATCCGTCAACATCTGGACTCATCTGCTCGGGGCCTTGGCGGCCGCCGTCTCCTCCGTCTACGTATACTGCGTCCTTCACCCGCGCTACGAGGCCGCCACCTCGTCGGATGTGCTCGTCTTCTCGTGCTTCTTTGGCGGGGCCATTCTGTGTCTGGGCATGAGCGCCACCTTCCACGCCCTCGTGGACCACAGCGAGGCCGTGGCCAAGTGGGGGAACAAGCTCGATTACACGGGCATCGTGGCCTTGATTGTGGGGAGCTACGTGCCGGCCTTGTATTATGGCTTCTTTTGCAGCCCTGCTTTGATGTCGGCGTACTTGTATCTCGTGAGTTTGTATTTTGTTCTCTCAGTGTTGCCATGTCTAGCACATGCAAACTAACTAGCGGCAAGATTTGCACTTTGGGCATCGGATGCGCAGTAGTATCCTGGGTAGAGCGCTTTCGCACACCCAAATGGCGAGTATACAGGGCATCCATGTTCGTCGGGCTAGGGCTTTCGGGCGTCGTTCCTGTTATTCACGGCATGTCGGTATACGGGTACGCGGGATTGGAGGAGCGCATGAGCATTAGCTGGGTTATTGCTCAGGGTGCCATGTACATTTTCGGCGCCGTCTTGTACGCGGTAAGTCGCTCTTCACCGCAACCATGATGTGCGCGAAACCTGACCCATGTGGTTGAAAAGGTCCGTTGGCCGGAGAGGAGTTTTCCAGGATCATTTGACATCTGGGGCAGCTCGCATCAGATATTCCACGTCTTCGTGCTCTTGGCTGCCGCAACGCACTTTTACGGCATGGCCAAGGCGTTTGATGCCCACCATGGCAATGAACCGACTTGTGGTTTGGAATAGATGTCGTGCCGACAACAAAAACACCGTGTCAACCGGCATTATCCAGCCCGAGATCCATGATCCTCACCAACCCTGATGCCATGGCCGCAGCTGCCCAGCATCCAAACCCCTCGTTTGGATTCCACTCTACGACGGTAACCCTTGACAAGGGCTCATACACAATGCCTCTCGTTGGATCCATCAGCCCGCCCGCCTCATCATCCTCGTTGCCCTCGCCTGCATCGAGTTCCGCCTTTTTCGGCCTTTTGGCCTTTTTGCCCTGCTGCGCCTTCACCTCTCCTTTTGGACTTCGTCCTTTTTCGATTGCGAATCCGTGAATGATGCGACATGCGCCCCTTGCAGGAGCCGGCGAGTCCGCAGGGAATAGCTCCTTGGGCCGGTGTTCATGCTGGAACAGGCGAAGCCGATCCGTGAGCTCTCGTCGACTAGTGAACAACTCAACTTGTGGGTTTATGCACCACAGTGACCCGTCGCTCGTGCCAATCAGCAGAAACGGATGCGTTTTGCCAGAACCAAGACAGGAGTTGTAGCTTTCGCCAATGTACACCCTCCGCACAATGGGAAAGTACCGCTGGTGCATGAACCCGACCATTGTGTTGAGCGCGTTGGCTGAAGGGTATACCGAGAAGAAACCCTGGATGTGGTCGCTATAGGTTAACATGTTGGGCTGCCAGCTTACCGCGTTGGTCTGCACTTCTGTTGACTCGTATGTCGGACAGGTCAGATCAATGAGCTTTGTCGTGCCGCCTACGGGTGTAGATGCTACGAGAAACGGATGAGAAGGGGACCCCGTTGCAAGGTCGACGACGAGACTGTGGTGCACGGCGTGCCGTGAGAGCAGGCAGTTTGGGTACAGGGACCATAGGGCGATGGATCCGTCCGAGTACCCGATGACGACTCTGTTGAAGGTTGCCCATGCGAAAGATGTAGCTTTGATGGCGTATTCGCTGTCAAGTGTGAATGATGCGAGAGGGTGTTCGACCTTTTCTATAGCCACCATTAGCAAAGAAATAATAGAGCTTCATAGATGGACGCACCAAACGTGCCGATTCTATCATCAACCTCGACAACATGTACACTTCCATCACCACATAGTATAGCAAGATGGTCGCACGCAGGACTCCATCGCACCCTTCTCGCGCGGCCATAATCAAGACAAATCGTCCTTCGCAGAGACGGCTTCTGCGCCGACGGCCTGCGCACACCATCCGTGTCGTCGCCTTTAAACCCCCACAGCTGCACGGCGCCGTACTTCTGGAATTCAGGCCTCTGGTGCTCCGCCTCGTAATCGTATTCCTCCTGGTCAGAATGCGGTATAACCGCCAAGGCAAGCACCTGCTCGCCGTCCCGCCGCGGCGCCCAATCCATGCCCGTCACAATGCCACCAGCGTCCAACATCCACCCCGTGGGTATCTTGTTCTCCGTGTCGTCGGCATCATACGGGACCCAACCCTGCGACAGCGCATACGCATCACCGGGCTCGACGCCAATCTCCCTCTGCGCCTCATACGGCCCCATGATCAACCTCAATTCCCTCCTCGGCATCGCATACAGCTCCGCCTCATCACCACCCAGCTCCCGATACTGAGTCCCCTGTACACCGCCATCATTCGCAAGTCGCACGCTCCACCTCTCGGCGAAATATGCCTCCTTCTCCTTATACCCCCCAGCCGCCCAAGGGGCTACATTCGAAATGCCATGCTCGGCTACAACATGCCGTGGCGGCAGCACCGTCCACGCAATCCAGCGGTCCAGGAGTCGTTGCGCAAGATGAATGCTCGCTGTCCGCGGCCCATACCACGTACTCACCAGCGTTTGTCCGCGCATACTCCTATCAAAGGGGCCTGTGTACCCCTTGAGATGGGTATCTGTGGTCACGGACTCGAGGTCTAGATATCCCGCGCCGGTTACGGTCTTCTTGATCTTTTTCACGCGCTTGCGGGTGGGCGCGGTAGCGGCGGAAGGTCGGATTTCTGATTCGGCGGCTTCACTTTCGGAGACGTCCTCTTCTTCTCCTTCCTCCTCCTCCGAGGGTAAATTGTCGTCGTCGTCGCCGGGCGATTCGTTCAACGCTGATGTGTAAAAGTTTTCATCAGCCTCGTCTGGGTCGCGGCGCCGGCGCGTGGGCTTAGATGGGGCTTTGAGGACTACATTTTGCTCGGTTTCGGAGGACGAGCTTTCAAAGTCATATTTTGCGACGGCGTAGCTCTTTGTGCGGTTTGATCGGCGGGTTCTCATGGTGCATTGTTGAGGGTGAGCTTGGTGGCGAGCGAGGTTGAGGTGTTGGACAATTGGATCATGAAATATGAAATAACTATGGAATGTCTGGTGAAGTGAGAGTGACTGATTAGTTACTGCTTTAGGCTTTAGTGGGGCTGCAGATGTGGCAGGAGCTGACATTCCGTGGGCTCCTGTGGAACAAGCTGTGGAAGCTAAAACTTCAATTGTTTCTACCAATGCTTTGTCGGCCGTCAAGTTGACGAGACTATTGCCAATTTTTTTTTTTTTTTTTTTTTTTTTTTAACGATTGGCATCATATTCTGTGTTGAAGCCCCAAGAAGGCGTGGGTTCTACCAGTCCTGTCTCATATTCCTGCCCACCGCTCATTTGCATATAATTCGAAAACTTCTTCCCTCAATATCCTCGCCGGAACTTGTCAAAGTCATCCAAATATCCTTTGAGCCGATGCAAATTCTTCCCAGTAGTAGCCACAGCAAGTCCCTGATCCCAGCACCGTTTCACAGCGATATCACTCTCCTCAACGCCATACTTCTTCGCTGACTGTCCCAACTTGCCATCCACAGGGCCGGGATTTCCCCTCATAATCGGTGCAAGAGAGCTATAGCACGAGGCCACCATACCCTGGTTCTTCATCCAGGAAACAAGGTCCTCATGCTGCGCGTACGCATGATACTCGAATTGATTCACCGAAGGCCGAATGGTAGCCACTTCCGGAATAGGTTGTAGCTGCGCCTTGGTAAAGTTGGAAACGCCGATTGACCTTGCGCGACCGCTTCTGTAGGCCGCCTCCATCTCTTTCCATTTATCCTGCAGCTCTCCATCGTTCTTTGCACAGCGCGGGTTGTGAATGAGGTAGAGGTCGAAGTAGTCGAGGCCAAGTCTGGAAAGTTGCTGCGAAAGAGCTTCGTCAACGGTGAGCCCGTTGGTGCAGAGAGCTTTAGAGGTGATGAAGAGGTCTTGGCGCGAGAGTTTGGTCTGCTTGAGTGCAGAAGCAACTTCGGCGTCTTTCTGGTACTCTGTATTGCGGTCAGCTGTGCTTCTGGAAGTTGATGCATGCCGGTCGGACGCTCACGTTCGGCAGTGTCAATGTGGCGGTGTCCATGTTGAGAGCCTCTACGATAAGTTGCACGCTGTCAAATTCGGGGAGACCAAAGACCTGTCTGAATGCGGAGAGATGCGCGGTTCCGACGCCATATGCGATCTGTTTCGTGTTAGTGAGAGCTTTTTGACCGTTGTGGATGGTGCCTACCGCAGCATTTGGGAGCCATTGTTCAGAGTGATCACCTTCGATGTCATGCTGCTGACTCTCACTGTAGAGATGATAGACATGTGGTGCTTGAGGAAGCGAGGATCGTCCATATGGTAAGCCCAAACTTCCTTATATAACTTACAATCCTTACAATCCTTTCGATAGTATTGGAATAGCGGACTCTCCCCACAACTCTGGCGACGCCACCAAATCTCATAGTCGGGATGGTGCTTATACTCGTTTAACCGACCGATGGCCATCAATCATCTACGAGTCATCGCAATGGCGGCCTTTGCTAAAACCCGGCCTGAGAAGAGGAAAACCCGGCGACATGTACACAGCCGACTGAATGGGACGAATCCCGGCAAGCTTCATCATTCAATCACTTGCGCCGCAGCACGTCAGCGAGCATCCGATGACGGGGCTACACAAGTGAATTTGAGCTAGCAATTCCCTTACTTTACGAGTTTTCAACTAAGGAGGACGAATCCCCCCTTTGTCTGTATCTATCCACACTTGATTGAGTAACTGAAGCTGTATGAGATTGCCTGGGCGCCAATCAGACAAACCGCCGGTCTAGGCCTTGAAAGACAACAGCATGAGCTGCATCTCGATGGCAAGATGTCGGATGGTGGACAAGCTCGGCGACTTCAACTTGATTTATAAGCACTAGAATCATCTGATGGACAAAAAAGCACTCAGTTCTTCCCCTTCCAATCACCAACTAAAACTCTCAATTGCCAACTTGACCAGAATAGGCTCATTACCCCCGGAATGTCTCGCCAGTGCAGACACGATATACCGCACATCGTCCGCCATACTCGTTGGCCCACACACAACCACCGTTGTACCACCTCTCTGAACACGCAGCTCTTTCTCCAAGACATGTCGAAGATTGAACCGCTGCCCTACCGAGAGAGTCACCTCTAGATTTCCCCACCTCCTCTCCAAGCCACGACCACAGTCGTAGCCCAACATGCTCTCGACCGCATGTACCAGAGGCATCGTCCGCACACCCCAAAGCAACTTGCGAGTACCGCATGGTTTCGCCGTGTTGTTAAAGTGATCCAGCGCGGAGAGAACGCCCGTAATGCCCACACCACCAGCAATGCAAATGAGATTTGGATAGTCGTGAGTAGGCGTCGGGTGCTGGTCCTGTAGGAACGTCGAGCCAATATCGTACGAACCTTCAACCAGAACAGGGACGCCCTTTTCCCGCGCGCGTCTCTTGGCTAGAAGCGCCGTCATGCCGGCGTGCTTGCGGACGAATAGCACAACACCCGAGCTCTCCGGCTGCTCTACCTGCGTCTGCTCTGATTCAGACGCGGCAGAGCTGCTACCTCGGCTTGTATTGATGGTTGACTCGTTCTTTGCCATTTCTTTAGTCTCAACCATCTGCACCGTACTCTCCAGTTTCGACTTGCGATACGACACTGTGGCCACAGAGAAGGGGTGATTCTCCCAAACTCGCCAACTACTAATAGTCGGAAAATGCAAATACACATGTCCCGACGCCGACAGATTCGGAATGTCCAACCGGTAATACTCATCGTCAATGGGCGACAAGTACGCCCTCTTGACTCCATGCCGGAGCGACCTCGCGAGCCTCATCGCTCTGTCAAACGCCCACACCGCCAGGGCCATGATCAGCCAGTTCTCGTAGCCATAGTCAGAGGTGTACTTGAGATTGATGTGGTAGAAGGCCCCCGCGAGCGCAACCACAGCCAGCAAGATGTGCAGCACCAGGAACAACTCATACGCCTTGCGACGCACAATCTGGACTGATATCAGGCATAGAATGACCATGGCCAGTAGCGAAGCTGCGCCGAGTTGCCAGTACCTCTGGGCACTTTGCTCGGCATACGACCGCCCGTGGTACTTCAACAGGGCGATGTCGAGGTACAGCGCGCCGTGAACCACGGCATGCAGCATGCACAGGACCGCCGTCCAGCGATGGATCAGAAGAAACGTAGCGTGCGACCAGTTTGTCAGCCAGAGGAGGAGATTGTTGCGTCCGGCATACAGCATGACCAGCGGGAACAGGGCACAGCTCATTACGCCGGTCCGGTTGGCCACGTATATCTTGTAGGCCTCGGCGGGTGTCGAGTACCGTGACGAAGGGAAGGCGTAGTCGATTCCTTGGACAGTGGCCACGACGTTGATCACCCACATGTACAGCAGCAAGATGGCCTGTCCGCGCGTTGGGACGACGCCTAGCCCCCATACGGGCGTGTCGTGCTTTGTGCCGACCAGCGGCGGGTCAATGATGAAGGCGTGGAACTTGGTGAGCCAGCGTTGCGGCCAGGGGAGGAAGCGCAGCATCGAGACGCCGATGGGGATGATTGCTCCCGATACAAATACCACCATGGCGTACCAGGAGCCTCTCTTCTCCGACTTGGCGTAGGTGTACATGGTGTTGTAGTAGATATTGTACGTCTCATCGGGGATGTACGCTGTATAGTCGAGTATGACGGAGGCGTTCAAGGGCTGTGTAGGGACGCTTGTAACGGTCGCGACGAGAGTCGAGTAGCTGTGGTATTCCGGTGCGAGCGCCGACTTATTCGGACCGGGGAACTGCTTCTCATAAAAGGCTTCTAGTTCCTGGAGAGGCAGGCTGCTGCACCTTGTCTGGAGACAGTATGCCGCCGTCTTCATAAAGTACTCGTTTCGTGATTGACACTGCCGGGTCGGCTCTGCGGTTACCTGCCAACCTGTTCCCGAGGGGTACACGGGTTCGCCTGCATCCGCCGCCTCTCTCCTCTGCAGCACGTCGTCCGGCACAGATCTCTCCGATCTCTTCTCCCGCGCAGTGTTGGCAAGGTCCTCGTCGGTACAGTTGATCGGGGAGGTGATGGCGTATAAACAGGGCCATGCGCAAAAGGGCTCGTACAGTGTTATCCCGTAGCCAATGAAGCCTTTGGCGCCGTCATGGGTGTTGGTGACGCCAAAACAGGACGCCCCCGATGTGAGAGCCGCCAGTGCGACTAGCCACCGTAACTTATGCATGTTGGCAAAGGTGGTCAAGGGACCAAATTGTCTGAGAGGGCACGGCGAATGCTATGCCGGCACTTGCAGCGGGTAAGATGCCTGCCAATTCGAACCGGGGATATAGACTCTTGGGCCTTGGCAACTTAGATGCCAAGAATAATGTCCAGATCTTGCCAAGATTAAACGCGGGACACCAGCGCCAAAATTGTAACGGGACTCACAAGACAACACAGGTGGACTTGGGTGAAGGATATAAGACACTATATGCAACTCTTCAACGAACCGGAGAGGGATGGCTGATCCCTTTTCTACGAAGCATAATGCCTCATTTGACTGAGCCGTTCCGAATACCACGCCGTGCCTTGCTTCCCCCCCCCCCCCCCCCTTTTCCAACCTTTCCCAAG